AAAATAATATCATAATCCGACAGGAGCCACTTACTGATCTTTCTAAAAAATGTTCAAACTCAGTCCATGTGATCTGTCTTTGTCTAGTTTGTATTTATAATTCAGAATATTAGCCCCGGTTTTTAGTTGAAAGCATGAAATGTCACTTCTGTGTTGTTATAGTCAGGATGGAGACCGTTTACAATAATTCATAGTTGAGTTATTTCCGCTGTTGCAGGTAAATCTGTGCTGTGTTTAATCTGAACTCATGGAATTTGCTTGTTTGCTAGTTTTCGGTATTTTGACCAGAAGCTCGATAACCTGAATGTTTATGGGTCAGTTTGGAGGATGAACCTGTGAATGTTTCTGCTGCTGATTCAGTGATTTGCAGTAACCTCACAGCTCCCTTAAAAAACACCAAAACACTCAGCAGCACTCAGCATGCTCAACACATTGTTGCCACTGTCACTGGCAACAATGTGTCTGTAAGGGTCTTGTTGTAAATAAACTGAACAGTGCCAAACTTTCATTAGCAACTTGCACATCAGTTAAGATGATAGGCAGGTAGATAAGTTGGTCTTTACATACAGAGATATACAATATGACGTAATACAGGATACAAGGACACCTTCTTACAATCATTTCCATGAGACAACATAACTGTTAGATAACAGTGCTTCATGAATGTTACATTTCAGCCAGCTATAATCAAAATATCAATAACAATAGAAAATATTTTAAACAGTGACAGCGTGAGAAGGATTGTTTAATGAACCTACATAATATCACTACCTGCACCAGCAGCTCCTCTTACAGTTGCGAAGTGGGTTTCAGCTCATTGGTTTATCCTTTTAGTTCACTCTCACAACTTTGCTTCTTCTTCTTCTTCTTTTTTAAAAGAAAGCACTGAAAGCTCGACCATATTGTAGTAGCTCACCATGAAACTGCAGACAAACACTAGCTGAAAATAGCATGAGCCACGAAGAGACAGTTATTTAGTTCACGGGTTTGCCGACACGCAAAGATAAACCAAGCTAAAGCTGTGTGACTATCTGAAAAATTTAATGATAACAATATCAATATTGCTCTGTGAACCAAAACTAACTGTAACCCATGGTCTTTTTTCTCTTTTTCAATGGTCCACTTCAGACGGGGGGTTGGATTACCACTGGGATTCTTGTGTAAAAGGTTATAATCAGTTAAATAAGGTAAGAGTACATCCTGAATCTGATATTAGATCGCTTGCAGACTATGAAGTGGATTTCTTTGTTTTTTTAAATAAATGTTGTGCTTTCTTTCTTCCTTTGTCCCCTGCCGATTGCCCCCACATTCATGCGCTGCCCATCCCCCCCACCATTAGCTTCACCAGCTGTCCAACAGCAGTGTGGTCGACGGAGCTGAGAGCCAGCTTGAGCTGTGCCCCGGTCAGACCTTCCAGGTGTCACTTCTGCTCTCCCACCTGCTGGATGCCCCAACTCACAACTCTGACGTGCTGCTGCAGCCGTATCTGTCCAGCTGGGACGAGCTTGTCAAGTAGGATTTTCAGATAAAGATTTGTTTACAGCCATCAGGAAGAAAAGTTATTTGTTGTTTGCTGATTATCTGAAAGCTGCTTTATCCTGTTCTGTGTTACTCTTCTAGGTTCATGGACTCTCTGGGGCCAATGGTGGGACTGATATCTAAAGAGATAGAAAGTAAGACTTCTATAATTCGCCAGCTGGCCCTGACGGCAGACGGGAACCCTGAAGCAGAGGTAGACCCGGATCTACATTCCATAAACTCTGTAAACTCACAGGGTGGTGGGACAAAGAATAAGGCGTCGGTGCACACCAGTGCTTATCACTCTGTGCGCTCTATGATCTCGATGGAGCTGAATCAAGGCCTGGTGAGTTTCCACCACCAGACAGACTCTGGAAGCCGGACTCTACTGCGCCTGCATCGCGCTCTGCTTTGGCTGAAGCTCTTCCTGGAGAAGCTGGCTGAGACACCAGTGGAGGGACGGCTCAGGAGTCCCTCTGACCTGTGTCGTGAGGCCTACAAGAGCACCCTTGCTCAACACCATGCATGGTACGTCCGCAAGGCCGCTGAGCTGGCCTTCATTGCCCTGCCAGAGCGGGGCTTCTTTTTCAGGCTGGTGTGCGTGCAGAACCAGGAGGAGCTGAGCAAAGTGCTACACAGGGTGTCTCGGGCCATCGGAGAGGTTTATGACCGGACACAGAAAGCTCTGGAGGAAAATGGCATGCTGGACTTGCCATAAAAAATGAGATAATCAGACTGGACACAGGGGCACTGCTGCTGTTTTACCCTTCTTTGGATTGTGCTTCTGCTCTGTATCCTTGGCGTCATATATTGGATTTAGATACAAATAAGATGCAAGCTTTTTTTGAAGAATTGACTTGTTTTTCATCCAGAACTCAGCTTTTTTCTTCTTCTACGGACCAAAGTGCTGAGTCAACAATCAACATGTGACATTCAGCTTTACTTTGATGTTTCTCATCAGATTTTATGGGGTACTATCTCAAACTTTGTTGCTGATGATTATGGTTTAGACTGTGCATTATTTACAAAAATAGAATTGATTTTTTTTTAATAGCGCATGTGTAACTAAAATTGAAAATTGGTAATCGCTATATTAAAAAGAACTGCTCTTTTACAGTGTTATTCCTCTGGTAAATTACCTCGTAACTATGGTGTTGGTCTGAAATCTCCACACGACCAAACGGATTAGAAAGTTACTGCTTCACAGTGATGCTGTGTGTAGAGCATGAATTTGTTATTTTTACATCTATGTCATTTTTTTTGTATCATGTTAATGATTAATTAAAAAAAAAGAAGACAATCCATTTGATTATTTCTACTCATCGTGTGATCCAGCAATGGAAAAACATTTAAATGGCAATAAAAGGTTCTTTATGTTGTGCACCAACCAACCAGCAGAGGTTCCAGTGCCCTGCTAGAAGTCACATCACAGTGAATATAATCTGGTCTATGTGGCACTCTTATCTATACACACTCTGCACTTTTTGTCTGAATCCAAATGCAAAGGCTTTTCCTGTCAGAATACGTTTGGTATTACTGTTTAGAAAAGCCTTCAAGTGAAGAATATCAAAGAATATTCAGTATTATATTACAGAGTACATGTGTAACCGAGAGAATAGCATGTGTATGACTCATCTGCACTGCTGGTGTTGATTAGACTGTTTTAAACCCAGCAGTACCTCCAACGCTGGCTCGGTCTCCATTTTTATAAAATGCTTTCTTTCTGCGTTGGCGAAAATGGGGTTAAAGTCACGGAGTGCAGAGGAGACAGGAGCCGGGTAAAGGTCAGGAAGCGGAAGTACACTTCACCTTTAATCCTGTCAACCACTTGGTGGCAGACTATTTAAAGCAACTGCCACAGGGGGGGAAAAGTACAACTTATAAAGCATCCACATTTTTTTTCCTATCTATCTACAGTCAAAGTGACCTGTGACATGGATGGCATAATCATTTTGTGAAAATCAAGTTTATTTTGTATATAATCATGATATATTATATATACCATATATTACTGTTTTAAACAGTAATATATGGTTGCCTGTGAGGATTATGGAGAGTGAGATTATATTAGTTTCATTAGTTACATTCACCGAAAACTACTTTTAACACTAGCTGGCTTCTTTTATTGTCAACTGTGAAAGTGATGCTATATTTAACTACATGATGATCACTGCTATTCCACCTAGTTTCTAGAACATGTCTGATCATGAGTAATACATCAATCCCTCCGCCCATGAAACTGGCAAAGAGTAGCAGAAAGATGACTGAGAAGCAGGCACGAAAGGAAGTTTGAGTTCCCTTAAATAACATTTATTCATTTCTCTATCTTGGTTTGCAGTAAACATGAGCAAAAATATACATACAGTTAGAGCAGAAAATAAAGATCCAGAATATTTATCATCTGTTAGGGAGAGAGTATTTGAACAAATTCACTGAATTTCCTTCTTGTTAGCTTATAATACCAGTCTTAAGCAATAATACAGCTTAACATTATGGGGCAATGAGATTTTTTGTTACTTATTCATGTAGTTATCTCTACTTATAAACCAACAGTTGGCTTTCTTCAACCTTTGCAGTGGATAAAGTGTTGTCAGAACTCTGACAGAAAGCTTTGATTATAGGTTTGTTTTAAAACAGTAAAACAAACTCAAATGACAAAAACATTCAAAGAAAAAAAACAAACAAACTCAAATCCATATCTATTCAAGTTTCCTTGAATACAATTCTGAAAATCTATCTAGTACGTCCTATCACTTGATATATTCCAGGCTAATGCATTCTCTCATCTTTACAACAAAATACTCTTTTATAAACAAAACAATTCTTTTTTTTAATGGTTCCATCATCATAATAACACACACTGGCATATATGCAGTCTTTCCCTTTTGTTCCTTACTGTTTCTGATGCACGTCGCTCTGATTGCGTTACAACCTTTCCTGTAAATATTCATATAGCCACACAAGAAATAAATATATTGCTTTTCAAAGACATTTCCAAATTATCACAGGAATAAAAAGCGGATAAATGGAGATAACAGGAAATAACATTCTGTGACACTGGGGGAGCAACACTGTCTGTCCACCAGGAGGCACTGTTATGTCGTGGTGAACCATGTTCCTTTGTGCGTATTTTTATTATATAAGAGGAGGCCTTTTCATTATCACAAGGTATTTAGCCCTCCAGCTGGATCCTACAGTATCTCTGCATGGGATCCTTACTCAGATCTACTGCTGAGGATGTGTCAGACAAGTGGGAATTCAATTTTAACTGTCATGTAGATCTTTGGTTGAAGAAGTCATCTTCACATGCGTGAGTGAAACAAGAGTGTCCAATTAGCCAGTGAAGTGGAACACTTTTATTTGTTGTGATGTGATTCAAACTAAACAAAGTGTAATGTGAATGTGGTGAACAAAATGAGAAATGAATAAACCTTGAACCGGCCGCCTACTGAGGAGGAGCTACAGAGCGGGGTGAAGAAGTTCAGCGTGCCTGCTCTGGATTAGTTGACCAGATTAAGAGATTACATTGAAATTAAGTAAGTGTTGCAGCAATGCAAGAGGAGAAATGCATGCAAACTGGGTGGCGGACTCATGAAAATTACTGTTAGAGCTGATCATCCATTATAAATGACCTTTCAAATATAGATTAGATAATCACCTTGGATCTAATGGGCTTGCCTTCATTTAATGTCAGATGATGCAGTCTTATTTAAACTACTGCAAGATATTTGCAGGCACACAGAGAAACACACAGCCTTCCAAAAAAAATAATTAATAATCAGCCAGACCTTAATGTGAGTGAACAGATGCTCGTGTTCTATATTTGCTGCAGTGACATGGCAGGTTCACAGTCTAACTGATCTAACAGTTTTGGAGCTGTGCAGAGGTGATGTGCCTGAGTTTAAAAGTGTGACTCCACAGATTTCTCAAGCCAATAATTTAAGGGATGCTTAGTAAACAGCTCAAGCACTAAACTCAGGAACATGTCTGACTTTTTTAGAGGCTGAAACTGGTTGTCTTGTTATCAGTATGGGTTTTCCTTCAGTATGATTCATACAACACTGGGGAACACAACAACATCGAACCAAATGAACAAAAACATATCCTTCTTATGTGGTCAATGGAGTAAATCTTCGTGTTGTTTTTAATTTGCTACAGCCCTACAAATCAAAACTGAACTAACATTCAAAATAATAAAGTAACGACTGTCTTTTAAAATAAGAGGTAAAGTGTACATTTTCGTATCTCAGATGCATCCTTTAGGTGAAGAAAATGAGAATGAATGAGAAAAAAGAAAACTACCCAAAAAAAAACAAAACACAAAAAACAAACAACAAACAACTTTCAACATCCTTCTTCCTTCAAAACTGGAAATGCATTAATAAACTCAAGTCAGCTTCACAAAAAAAAAAGAAAAGAATAAAAGCGCACTTTCTGTGCAAAACAATACAATTTTTTTTTTACAACGGCATCTATTTCTGATACAAGTGAAATAGATGCAATACACTCAAAAATACAGCTCCTCTAAACATCGATTGAATATTGATATTAAAAACTGAAACGCGAGAAACTCTTGGTTTGACTTTGGGAATAAAATGCGATATTGAATTTTGTCTGTGTGTGTTTGTGTGCTTGTGCAGAACAGAGGTCTATTTTGTCATTTTCACATGATATTCAGCTATCTTATTGGACTGCAGTCCAGGAGCCACAAAGCTAGAGTTCAGCTTACCCCGTAACCGACTGAGAATTCAGGTGTTATATGACCCCCCCATATATAAATATATATATATATCATCTGTTTCACAAGCTACTCTCAGGCCACACAATGAGAGTGAATATCAAATGATCCAAAATGATTACTATTTAATAGAAGTCATCTGATGAATGGATACGGGCATTCATAATGCATGCCACTTAATGAATATTGCACATTGCATGCAACTTCCCGACCTACAGTATGAACTAAAACACACGATCCCCTGCACTCTTTACTCCTCTTTACCTGTAATGTGTACCTCGTGTTCTTCTTCTTTTTTTTTTTTTTTGGGGAGCGTCGTGTAGGGAAAGGGGGGGGGTCTGTATCACATTTTGAAAAAAAAACCCACACTGCGCGTGAAGTTTAAAGATTACGGTGTGGTCCCTCCTGGTGGTCAGTCGCTGAACTTATTACAGATGGTAAGCAGCCGAGACACAGGAGCCTCCTTCCTTTGTAGCATACTAAGACAATACGCACATGCAAATGGCATCATCTCTGCATCAATCCTGTTTGTTGGAATATTCTTTTAAAGTGCAACGAAATAGACGCACTGATGTAAGATTACTATTATTATGCTGTATAAATACTGTAGATATACACGCTCGGTATTGTAATTTGTGGATCTTCATATCTAGAGGGATACTCTATGAGGAGGCAGCGGGTCGGCGGGGGGTGGGGAGCAGCCGTACAGTGGTAAAGTTGCTGATCCTTGCAAACTCTGCGAACACACGTCCACGTCCTTTATAGCCCCCTAGTTTGTCATGCAGTATAAATAGACATCACCTCAAACTAACTGATGGAAAATAACCTGTGTGTGAATGCTCACAGAAATAATGACAGGATTAGCACCCTTTTGGTTCTCGCCTTGGTCTCGCCACGCGACCTGACAAAGAATTTCCCACAAAAATCTGTGGAGAGGTGTGGGGTGGACGGTGGGGGGTGAGGTTGGAAAGGGTTGGGGGTGTAAACAAATCCTACAAAGGGTGTGAATACTGTGATTTTTGTTTTCTGTGCATGTGCAGTGTTGCTGAGAATGAAGACAGTATGTTTTGGGGGATGAGGCTGGTGGGGTTGGGGGTTAGGGTTAGGGTGGGGTTGGAGGAGGGGGAGTAAACCTAGTTTTTACTGTTGATCCTCAGCTTGAAAGACACTCGCCCAGCAAACTTGTCCCTTTCACCACCAACGGGAATGTTTTCGGCGTTGATCTTGCACTCAATGTTCACGTCTTCATTGTGAGTAATGTTGAGGAACTTGACTGCAACCAAGGGCTGAGAGTAGTTCACCTGCAAAAACAGTCAACAAAGACGTCGTAAACCTACGGACCCAGTAGGTTTAACTCTGTGGTCTGTGTGCGCAATTGTAAACAAACACACATTAATTATTAACAGTTACTTCTATCATGTTTACAGCACATTATATTTTAATTTAAACCACATTCTTACCTGCGCTTTCTTGCCGTAGTAAGGGAAGTACATAGAGTTGATTGTGCCATTTGGAGGAAAGTAAATCAACTCTCCAATTTTATCAGCGTCATCTTTCTGAGGGGGTGAAACGGCTTCATCAGTTATATAGCTTTAATCTCCACTTTATAAGGTGGAGGTGAGCTTTATTTGTCTACTTTTCTCTAAAGTTCTTTCTCCTACATATCTACCATCTAGTTCTAAAATGCAAATACAAAACAACAATGTGATCGACTGCTACAGATATATCATATAGAAATATAATCTAAACCAGGGGAGTCAAACTTTGAGAAAGGTAACGCAGCGCCAAATTTTATAGTGACTAAGATAACCTGTTAAGTAGAATCTTATGTAAATAACATTTTTTAAAGCCAATTTCAACAATATTTTTTTCTACATTCAGCAACTTTGTTATTACAAACACGGGCATCATAAATCGTACAAATTACTAAGCTACCTTATGTCAGTGTGATATGGCAGACTAAGTCATATGAAGACAGATATGTCTCAAGATATAATCTTAATAGAGTAAAAAGTGCAAAAATACTAATGATATTCTCACAATTTTTACACACTTTGTAAAACCACCCAGTGGGTGAAACTGGGCCCTTTGGCAGACCTCTTCTTGCCCAAAGGCTTTTTGTTTGACACCTCTGATCTAAACTGTACCAAACATAGGTCCTGGACTTTTTCTTACCCATTGATCTTTGCCAACTCTGTATTTCTGCGAGTGAACAAATTAATGGAACGCAATGGAGAAAAGAAAAGGGCAGCGATAAAAACAACTGGCTTGACTGACAAGACAGCATGAAAAAAAAAATCATGATAGCTAAGAAAGGAAGGTGGAGGTAAACGACAGGTGGAATACTGCAGATGACGTGAGGCACAATAGCTATGAATAAAACTGTTATGTCAAGCCTCTGATTGTGAAAGACAAAAAGGGATTACCTTTGCAGCACAGGTGACATACGGAGCCTGGTTATCCTTTCCTGGCAGCAAACCAATCACCTGATGAGAAAATAAAGAAAACCGTTTTTTGTTCATTTTTAGGCGATAAGTGAATGATGATAAATGCAAAAACCAATCAGTTTAATTATGATAGTGACTTTTGTCTTTTTATCATTTCCAACCAGTTTGGTTGTCTCAGTCACTCCATGTCTCCTAGCAACACCAGTCCCTTTCACTCCCCTCTCTTTTCCTTTCATACCCGATTCAGCTTGATGATGATGCATGGCTGGCCTTCTCTGTATCCATAGTAACGGTCATCGATTCCAGAGCAGCTCTGGAGGACTGTGCGGTTGAACTGACATGATCGTTTCGGGTTGTTCTTCACCTCACCGCTGTCCTCCTGGATGAAGTACTTGTCTGGGGCGCACTCGTGATTTTTCTGGGCTTGGAGGGAATCATTGTAGGCTGCAGGGAAAATAGGAGAGTGTGTGTGGGGTGAAATTGTCTTTATAATCAACTAAGATTCCAATACAAGACGCTCTCCTGTCAGCTAACTATAAAGAGATTATCTGTGTATGTCATAACATTCTGTCTTAGAGGGCAAGAGCCAAACTTACGTTGAAGGAACTTGTCCAATGTCTGGGCATACAGGTCCCAGCTCTCAGTGTCCTCTTTAGTATAGACTATTTCAAAGGTGTCATCTGCCCGAGGTCTAATCACCAAGCCTGAGAGGGACAAGAGAGACAGCAGGGAGTACGTGACACAGTGCACAGACCATGATCTGTGTTCATGCAGCTTGTATCTATAGTTTCTGCACCTGGTGTGGAGAGCCTGTCTTGCCAGGTTGGTCTGTGTTCGTCCAGGGTCTGCAGCATGACATACATGGTGAGAGCAAACATGCCAGCGAGGCAGGTGTAGAAAATTAAATAGAAGAGAAAAATAAGGCCTGCAGACAATAAGAAAATAGAGCCATATTAATATAAGCAATAGTAACAAAAATGGAATATTAAAATATTACAAAACAGCATCTTCCCCAACTGGAAAAAATGACATGAAAGTAGCACTATATGTAAAAAAAAAAAACCAAAACAATTTCTTCATCATCAGATTTGGTCAGTTGATGTTGTAGAAAGATAATCTGATCACATGCACCAAAATATAACATAATATAATTTGTGTTTATGTGTTTATTGCATGGAAAATGTATGTTTGATACACTGTGCAAAAAACCCCCAATAACCTTTAAGCCTTTTGTTGCTATGATTACATTATTTAGTCTGCTATACACCACAGTACATCTATGAATTATGCATAAAGTCCATTAGACTAACATCTGCAAGTCAGCAAAGTCCATTTCATTATATTTGCAGCACACAAACACTTAATGAGTACAAATAATCTCACATCTGAATTGATGAGTAGTTCATGTCTATTACGTCACTCTCTAGCCAAACATGTCCACGGGATTTCAGTTAATCCTCGTTAAATTGCTTCACTGCATCTGCAACATCTGCCTCTGTTTCTCTCTCTCTCGCATGAAGCAAATCATCCTTTTGATGCAATGCTTAAAATATCATCGTTTAAAGTTAAAATAACTGGAGGCAACACATTTTCACTGTAATGCAACTAATGCAAGTGGTCTGAGAGAGAACTAGAGTCCTGCATCTCCCCAGGGCTCTATTTTAAGGCTTTAAGTCATCTAGACCACAATAGGAGACTGTGTCCAATCATGGGTCTTTTAAAAAGAATAACAGGGAAGCACTATAGGGTAGCATAAAAAGCACAAAGTGCATGTAGGATATAAGAAGCAGTGGTGCAATCTGTGAAGCAGAAGACATCCACCAGGGAGAGCAGGGTTTGAATCATATGTGAAGCCATAACTCAATACTGACTCATTTTAGCACACATGCCAGTGGCTGTACAGTGGAAGGTGCTTAGTACAGATCAGGCAGAGCTTTTCCTTCTATATTTCTGCCCACTGCAGGTTTTTTTATTTTATTTTATCAACATAAACTCAAAACACAAGCTGCACATTAATCCTTAAATTCTTTGTGTTTTTGCATGGACTGAAAAATAAGTATGACACAAAGTGAACCTAACCACGCAGGAGTTCATGGCTGACGACCAACTTCCTTATAGAACTGTCCTGTCCACAGAAAGGAAGGAAGAATGACAGAAGGCAACACCGGGAGAGAGAAAATAAGGATGCCCCGGAGACTGAGCCGCAGAGTCAGGGGACTAGGTTTATTAATAACTGTGTACGAGTAAATTGATAATGATAATTACATTTGATATAAAGAAGAGTTTGTTTTTAATGCTTTACGTTGTCATTGTTGTGACGAAAATACTGAGATTTCAGATGGAGATCCTAACTTGGCATCTTTTCATTGTTATCTTGTGAGATCAACAAATTCATAAACCATTTCTGAGGCGATCTTTCTAACTTGGAACCATCAGATACATTTGAAGCAGCCGTTTGCTTCCCATCCACATACAGAACATGTATGTGACGCATCCCCCATTTCAAGCATCGACACCTGAGGCCATTGTTGGGAGGCAGCTGAGTACCTTGACCCTGCACCTCTGCTGGATGGCCCCCAGCGTGGCGCTCACTCCCTCAGTCAGCAGGCTCAGCATCGCATTTGTCTCCCTGCGCTGCCAGACTGGCAAAATGTCAAAGGGAGATGGAGGGGGGGTGGCAATCGCAGAGGGGTATCTTGATGATTTACAGCTTGTGTGTACAGCTTGTGTGTGCATTTTTTTGCCTGACTGTACCTGAAGTTTTAGAATCTAATAAAAATGAATCCCTTAGTGGGATGACAATGAGCATCCCATCTACACCACAGAAAAGACACAAGCTCAGTTATTAATTATACACAGATCATGAACTATGCTGGAGGCAACGCAGCAAGAGAGACGCTACGATCCAACAAAAGTGGCAAAGTGTTTGTCTCTGTCGTCAAGCGGGTGGGGGAATTTTTGTGCTAACCACAAATATGACACCACCCAGGGGGAGAATGAATGTACGCACACCCAGACGGGATCAAGCGTGCAGGCAAGGTGGCTTCCCCCCCCTGGCAAATAGGGTGTTGGGTTTACAGCCTGCCCTCTCAGTGCATGCTGATGATGGACAGTGAGGCGTCTCTGTTTCGCACTGGTTTTGTATGCAGACGGCGATTGAAAGAAAAGAACAAAAGGACAGGCTCGGATGGTCCACTACCCTGTTCTTTCTTCGGTAATAATGGCAGGAGGTGTCCCTTTTTCTTTCACAATTAATTGGGAGGACATGCTGTTTAATCGCTTTGCAACTTGCTGATCAAACGCACCTCTGAAATAAAAATGAAAAGGTCTGGCGAGAGCGTGGATAGCTTTGAGCTGTGGCTCTTTCGCCGGCAAACACTGCTAATTATCTCGTACACAATGTTAAAGTAACAAAGAGCACCGTGATTCTGTTCACCATGAGGTCCTTTGAGGTTCTCTTCCTGTGTTGCAGTGTGGACTTTGTTTCTGGAAGTGGGAGGTCCAGAACACTTCATTAGTCAAGCTAGTTGTCTGACCACGTTTCACTGTGTCAGCTTGTGGCATGTGTAACAACAAACCTGCAGCACTGCTCTCCTTTATCAAGGTTATTTCCATATCATTACAGCTCTTTACAGAAAGCAGAACACAAAAGGAAGTGTTCTGCGTCTCATCCTCAAAGAAGTCTTTGATCTAATGCTTTGAATGTGCATTGTGTTGCAGAAACACATTTATGGCTTAAAGAGACTGGAAACCTGCATTTAAACCCCTCTTGAGTGCAAGCCGTAAGAAACTGTATCACGAGTAGATTAGGCCGTGTTGCCAGCACATTGGAAGTAATGGTACAGTATGTACAGGCTTAGGAGAATGAGAAAGTGCTACTCTGAAAAGCCAAGTTTAGCAGACCTACATGTAGTGGCTAACTCCAGAAATAGCCTAATTAGCAAGTCTCAGAGAGCGCAGCTTAAAAAGGCCAACAGACCTTAAAGCACCTGGGGCACATTGAGCTGGATTAAGTTGTACACTGTGGGAGGATTCCAGTTAAGGAAGCTACAGTCCATGAGTCCCAGCCCCACACTGAAAGAATAATATATGTGCACTGATGAAAAATAATCAGAAAATTCAAACTCAAAGTAAAGACTACGTTTAACACAGTTTCAGCCTCGAGTGCTAAACTTAAGTCTCTGAGCTCAGATCTTCAGTGAAAATGTGAAAATGAATCCAAGTTCCTAAAAATGTTTTACTTTGCCAGAGCACGTTGAATTTGATACCTTCCTCTCCAGCCAATGAACTCATTAGATTAGGATTAAATCCCTTACTGATTTACACACACTGGGAGGGGTCGAGTTGGAGGTGATACAAATAGCATTTAGCCCTCGGCTTTACCCAGATTAAACATGCTCCAATGTCATTAGAACAGAGCCATATGCGCCCTGTCATCTCATGAATCTTTGAACTAGTTGCAGGGTCTTTGTATAGCAGAAAAGGTGTTAGTATATGGCAACACGACGGTGTTAAAAAGAGGATTTGACCTGATCGTCGCTCAGCATCTCAGGGGGAAAGCCTGGAAATAAATGACATCATGTTGCACAAACACTTGATGAAGCCACCGGCATGCAAACAAATCTCTGTACAACTTCAGTAAGCCGCTTTCCTAGAAAAAGTCTTCTCTGCAGCAGAATGAAAGTCATAGTTATAACTAAATCACTCTTCAGGAAAGAAGAATCGATTACATGCACTTTACAAGAAAGTGGAGCCTTTTTATTTTCAGCAATGCTGCTGTAATCAGGTTTATCCAAATGTAAAATAAACCCAAATGCCTCCACCCTTATGCTGGGCGCAATGCGCAGGGAAAGCATTGCAGAAAAAATACATTAAATTAATAAAGTAGACAGGAGTTGGGGTGGGGGGTGGAGGGGTTCAGCTGGCTTCCACAGGAGCGGTGCCGCAGTCAGATTTCAGCACCAACCTGTAGTGGACAGCGACATCCATCTCATCGCCTGAAGGAAATTACCGCCTAACTTCAAGCAGGGTCGAAATTCATGTCATGGTTACACACGCTCATTTCTCTCTTACAGCATCTTAGCGAACCTTTAGGGGGGGAAGGGGGGGGACCACTGTGGCAGAGACCTGTTACAGAGCCGGGGGACCCTGTTTGCTGCATTGCCGTAGCTGGACAGCACTTACCCCAGCTGCTCGCCGTTCTGCCCAGAAACTCCCTCGTCCTCGGGTTCCATAGAAACTCCTTCCAATCGCTTTTTTCTCCATCCTTTGCCATTTTCTAACGAACTGCTCCAAAGCTCAACTAAAAGCGGCCTGATGACACTGAGCGCCGGGCTGAAGCACTTTGCCCTGACAGCAGAGAACAAGAGGGATGGAGAGAGAAGGAGAGAGAGAGAGCCCTGCCGTATCACTGCTCCTACAGGAAGAAGACCGGCATTAAAGAAGTCGACTTAAACACTCAACGAGCCCGCATGAAAATAAATAAAGTAAAAGCACTGCTGTAGCCTAGATTATATGAAGGACTGGTAGGCCAACAGAAGAGGTAGCAGTTTCACACTCAGAACAGACCTAGTGACTGCCCTCCCCCCCAGCTCTTGTCTGCATGCCGCAGAGTTTTGATGAGTGGTGCAGAAATGTAGTGATACTGCGGTAAAGCACTCCCTCCGCCTCCCTCTACAAGCGCCACACCGCTCTCCACACATACATCCTAACACGCACGCACCAGCGCGGGCCTTAACCCTCCTCCCGCATGCCGTGATCCACAGCAGCTCCCGCCTACGCCACCCGCCTGACCAATCACCTGCTCGGGATTGTCACTCCTGATGCACGAGAGACAAGCCTCAGAGCAAATCGCTTGGTGGCTTAGGGCATCCCTTTATTGGCTAAGGGGTTCTTGACGTCACGTATCCAAAGAAAAATCAACAGAATAATTTTAATAATCCCTCATGGACCGTGTTGGTGAATCCACTGTCCGCTTGAGGTGACTAATTTATGTCCCATTCAGGCTTTTATTTATTTTTGAATCAAGTTATGTCAGGAAAGCCTTGGAGAATTTATTTATTCAGTCTTTTCCTTCTAGTAACAGCAGTAAATGAGAATGAGGCTTTTTGAAAGGATAACATAGAAATTACATTAAACCCTATATATACATTATTAACATCGTTTACACATCAAAAATATACAGTCACCCACTTTCAGTTCTAAATATTTCTGTATAACTTATTAGAATCTGGAGCTTACGAGGTTCTTAAATTAGCCAAATAGAACCACAGATTAAACAACATACATTTTACACATTGTCTTTAATTATATAACAAAAATTAAGCAATATTGCAGAAGTATTCCATTTAAAACTAAGTAAAATTCAAAATTCTATGGTTTATTATAAACACCTTAAGCAGCAATAACTTGAATTAACTGTTTTCTGTATGATTTTATCAGTTATTTGCATTCATGTGGACACCTTTGGACTGCTGTTCTTTACATTGCTTCTGTTCATTGAGGTTTGCACGCTCTCTTAAAGTACCACCACAGCATTTTAGTCATCCTGATGTTTAGATTTGGGCCATTGCAACACTTTGGTTCTTTTCGTTTGCTTTAGATTCATTGCCATGATTAGGACCATTGTCTTGTTCTGAGATCCAGTTTGGGCCAACATTTAGCTGTCAGATAGATGACCTCACATTTGACTCTAGAATACCTTGTTATAAAGATGAGTTGAGTCAACTCGACAACTGCAAGGTGCCCAGGTCCTGTAGCTGCCCAAATCATTACTTGTTCAGTGCCATGCTTGACAGTTGGTATGAGGTGTTTGTGCTGATTTGCTGTGTTTAGTTTTGCTAAGCACAGTGAGGTGCAAACCTATATGTCCACTTTGGAATGATGTCCTCTGTGAAAGGACATCATTCCAGAGGCCCTGTGGTTTAATGCTCCAAACTACCAAAACCTCTGCTTTTACAGAGGAGCTCACACTTGATCAGTTAATGAAGTGCATTTGATTAGCAGCAGCATAATCAGTATGAAAACAGTAAGGGAGTACTTAGTTTTTCACATACTCCCTTTGGATTGACATTTTAGCTTAATTTTGTTAAAAATGAAATAATAACACTGTGCAGTGTGGACACACTCAGTATGTCCACACTTTTTACATACTTGTAGAACTTTGTAAGGACCAGATGATTATTTAAATGTCCTGATACACGGAACCTTAGAACTGAAAGAGGGTGTGCTTTCATTTTCACATAGCTGAGGTTAAAATGTGAAATCCCTGTTAAATCCAAATGATAAAGGACACGTCAAGGGTTACTGAGTCAAATGGCTATTACGTGTATGCGTTATCTTAAAGAGCTGCCTGGATTATCACATGCACGAAGACACAACAGAATGTGGCGTGAAAACATGAAAACAACATGTGTTTGTTGTGTAAAGTTCATTATATAAAATTTATTTTCAATGACAATATCAATGCAAATATAGCACTACAGTGATTTCCAAGGTACACCGTATCTTACCATATCAATATAGTATGGCACTCATATAATGGCCACTGTTTTTAGAAGACACACAAAACCAACAGCTTCTGTAAACTATTCTGGAAATGATACCGAGGGTTCCATATCAGTCCGTGAAAAGGAATCATAGTAAGGTGATTACTTGGTATCGGCAATCAAAATTGGGCACAATAGTAAGAATCATTGGAGCATTTCAGTGTAAGGAATCTCTGCATGCATTGCACTTGCCCATTTCCTTCAACCTGGCCTGTGTTTGCTTGAAAATGGACTCTGATCCTCAAACGCGAGCAGGTGGAGCTAAAAACAAAAAAGGCCAAGTAGTGACTCTCAAACACTTAGATAGGTCTTCTTTTCACTGGGTGTACTGTACTGTACAGTTTGGTGCTTACTATCATTAAAAACGACAACAACCAAGAGACATTCAAGCGCCTTAATACTATTACAGACGGGCTCACTCTTTAAGGTACGAACTTCATTTCACGTGGCTTTCAGAAAGGAAAAACAAAAGAAAGAAAGAAAACCAAAATAATAAATAAAAATAAACCCAAAACAAATATCTCACAATAAGCACTATATTAATAATGTTTCTCATGGTAACACTGTATAGTTGAGTGAACAACACCAGTAGTTCAAGATAGCAGCAAGTATTCAAAAATGTCAAGACAACAGGCTGTGGAAATCTGTACACAAATAAAAATGGATGTAGAAAAAGGGCATAAATAAATCAATAACACAGCTTAAAGGGAGTCTTGCATAAATTGAAATAAACAACTGTTGGGCTGTGCCTTTCTTTAGAGGGCTTACTGTTTATTAGTAGAACTATAAGTAATGCATGGACTGGCTGCAGCAGATAAAGTACTTAATTCTTTTAGAAAAAACAAGTGAACAAAGTTATGTTTATACAATATATGCTACATAATATGTATTGATTACAAGTATGAAAATGGAAATAATTGCTACATTTTCAATAGAGTTGTACATATCTATTTACAGTACATTAGGGTTTAACTTGTCCTAAGCGTATACAATGTTTTGTGCAGATTGTTCCAGCATTCTGTTTGAGGTGATCAATACTCACAGTCTTATCAGTTGCACCATATTGCACAGTCTGTGTTGATGGGTGTTGAGTGCCTGTTTTTCGGTGTGGTGGAACAATCACTAATGTGCAACTGTGGATAAGCATGAGCGATGAAATTTTTTTTTTGTACCATTGATCTGTATCTATATTTGGCTGTACTGCACAGCATGTGCCATCTGTCACCTATTTATTTATTAATTTTTTCCTAATGAGGACCCCCCCCACCCCCACTCCCCCCAAACGACATATTCAGCTTTTTATACAACCACACGTTATCATAGTGAAGATTTGCTGTATGTAAAAGTTTGCCATGATCATCTCTACACTAATTTTTTTATTTTAGTTGGGATTTTTTTTGTTTGTTTTTGTTGTTGTTTTTTTTACAATACTGTATGTCTATCGTGACATGCAGAGAATGACACAGTAAATATGACTTCTTCAAGTCTTAGATATGTATTGTAGGCTAGTTGACACAAGTTTTAATTATGTTGCTCCAGCGTCGGGAGGATATTGCTATAAAATTGCAGAAACGTTGAGAAAGTAAATAGATTTACATTACAAATATGCAAACAGATACAGTAGGTAGCTTTTACTCCTCGGTGATGATTATTTGCATCCACAATGACAATCTATTGATACCAAGACATCTCATATACATTCACAATTTCAAGAAACACTTCAGCAACTTATCTATGAGTCTTGCCTTTTCTCATCCACAGAGTAGTTTTTAAGCGTGTTGGACACCTGCTTGTTGGCGAAAATACACAATTTATGTATCAAGTAGTCAGGAAGAAATTTGGCAACACCGACTTCAGAAAACAACCCGCTAATTATTAGTTAGTTGGCGTCTTCCTTTTGTAGCAATAATACTGGTGTTTTGTGGCAAAAAACATTGGCAATTAGAACACATTTACATAGTGTACTACATAATACAGAGCAGATACAAATCCAATTTGTAAGAAATTCATGTAGTTTGATTGTAATACTTCTTATTCTTCACCTCTTGATCAGCGTTTTTTTTGTTTGTTTTCCCCCCCAGATGGGTTCAGAGTCTCCAGTACCCTTCATCAGTTACTGTTCACAGATCAGTTTATCACACAATAAAAATGCTATCAAGGGTTTTCTTCTTGGTCCATAGTCTCCCATTCCTTGGTGGTAATTACATCACCAAAGCCATTTAAAGAATTTTCTAGTTTCTATATCCATTTTTACTCTCATTCATAATTCTGCCATCTTCAGCTCATCTCTTCTAGTGCTGTACTTGCTGGCCTGACTTCCACGTCAGATAGCCGTGTCCCACACAACGGCCTGTGGCCTCTGGCAGGGAGGTGTGCCAGTCTTACGAGGTTCAGGCGTCCGTCTCCAGCTAGGGAGGATGGGCATGCTGTCCTGCTTGCACAAGCTTTTGTCGGGACGCCTGTGTGCCTTGATTTCTTTGCACAGGCAGCGCTTACGCTCGATGACTTCCAGCAACTTGCCGTCTCTCTGGGTCTGCGATGTGGATGGGGTGGTGACCCCACTGACAACAGGTTGTCCCTGTGCCAACTGGGCGAGCTGTTGGAACTGCAGCTGCAGGTGGTGCTGTTGCTGAAGCTGCTGAAGCTGCTGCTTTAACTGCAGCTGCTGCTGGTGTAGCTGAAGCTGCTGCTGCTGCTGCCGTGACACACCGGGACCACTGGGACTGCTGGGACTGCAGGGTACTTGAGGCTGGGCCAAACTATGCAGCTGAATGCAAAAGGGTTAAAAGTCAAGTTAGTGCTTTCATCTAGTTATTTATCATATGATAATATCTTCATTTATAAACCTACATGATTACTGCAGTGGTGTTACCAGTAACAGCTGGTCCTCACACATGTAGGAAAAAAAAGAACTGCAGTTCCTGCAGACAGCCACCAGGATGCAGTCCTGCTGCATCTATTACAGTTTGAGGGAGGGTCTACCAGACACATGCAGACAGTCTCTGCAGCACACTCAAACTGCGTCAGCACTTGCTATGGAGCCAGAAACCGGGTGAAATGTGCTGCTAGAAGACTGCAGTTCACCTCTCAAAACAGAGTACAGCATGTTCTCTAACCCGCAAAGGCCTCTGATTTACTGATTGAGTACTAACCTACGTCATATACCTTTCTCTTTTTTTTTTTTTGAGGCAGGCCAGAACCTTATTCTGCTCAGTGGGCATATCTACCAGCTAAAAATAGATCTGCAGGAGCTGTGTCTCTAGCAGTAGGGGAAGTAATAATGAGAACAATATTAATGTTCACTCTCAAATCTACCTGGGATGACGGTAAAAGAAACTGTAGTTTTAAGGCTTGGTGAATATAATACAGTGCATTCACCTGATTCAGGGCTTCTCGTGCTGGTAGACTGCTCTGTCTCTGAACGTCTCCTCCACCCACCTGTCTCACTCCAGCAGCAGAGGAGGAGCGACCCAGCCGCCCCACTTCTGTAAGGAAACAAACATTACATTGTGTGCCTGGTAATGGGAGCAGATGGATAGAACATTTCAGCACACAGAGCTATGTTATGTGGCTAGACTTTTGATCTGCGACACAAACACTGGGTGCTCATTATTTAAGGTACTAAACAGTTACTGTCTACTTACCAAAAATTAATTATTTTGGTGTTTATTCCTGATTCAGCAATTATTGTCTTTTCGAATGGTACCAAAATAAGATAAAAACAGGATTATTTGTTCGCACATTCCAAGACAAAGTTACCGCAAAATGTCATAGAAAGGATGCAGTCGAATCCAGAAATGTGACAGGTCACAATTGTTAATATCCTTTTATTAAGGGGCTTACCTATTATATAAATTACAATATATTATATGTTTAGACCTTATAACTAAATTCAATTAAAATATAAGCTTTTGTAAAAAAAACAAAAACAACCCAGGGTATCTCCCTACCTCCGTTGCGACAGGCAGGAAAGGTCTGGCAGGGAAGAGGCAGCCCTACCCTGGGCAGAGCTCTGAATCCTAGGCTGCTGTCAACACCGGCCAGTGACTCACTGTGTCCAAGAGCCCTGCTTGTGGACCCACTGAAGTGGACTGGGATGCCTGAATGGCCTCCCCGAGACCCTATTCCAAGCTCTTCCTTGTCCGTCCTTAACAGGGCATCAGCACTACCGTTCCATGCCCGGCCTTCATCCTCTGGAAGAGGGAAAGGAAAAGAATACAGGATTAATAGAACCTTATTTTTAATGGCATTTGCACTTTGTACTAAAAAAGCAACCTCTGACTTACTCTCTGTCTCTCTGCTGCCGTGACTGAAGGACAATTTCCTCTGCATGGGCCAGTAAGACCCGTCATCGGCAGATAAACTGGCACTGCTGTCCCAAGGCATGAAACCAACTTTAGACTGAAGGGATGCAGACCCTCCATTGCTCTTGAACGCACCTTCACCAATACCAGTAAGACTCGAGGGCTGCTGCAGAGATGGTGTCTGAGAGCTGCCTCTCAAGCTCTCATAAGCCGGGGGCCTCCTGAAGCCACCGGAGGGGTAGGTCCATAGCAAGGGGCTGTCCGAGGAGGGCGGCTTGTACGCTGGAAGGCCGTGAGGCGTGTGAGAACGGAGGTGTGGGCGAGAGTGAGGACGCTGGGATGAGGATAATGGCGTGGGGGTTGAGCTGGTGCTGCTTTGAGGCGTTTGGCTGCTCGTGCTGGTAGTGATGTCCAACTGTAAAGAATGTGGACCTCCTTCCCTATCACGATCCCTTTCTCTGTCTCTGTCTCTGTCTCTTTCCCTGTCCTTTTCCTTATCCTTATCTCTATCCCTGTCTCTATCTCTGTCCTTGTCTCTCTCTCTATCCTTGTCCCTGTCTCCTCTACCCCTATCCCTTTCTCTGTCTCGGTCCCTGTCTCTGTCCTTTTCCCTGTCCTTATCCTTCTCACCTTTGTCAGACTTCAGGAGGAAGCTAACTGACTTGCCCTCCTTGCCTGTACTTGAGGTTTGTGTCTGGACTGTGGCCTGGTTAGAAGCCTGTGAGCTGCTCTTGGTCGGCGCAGGAGAATCTCCTCTTTCTGGCTTCCGATAGTGATGGTAGTGTGAGGGGCGATGGTGAGGGTGATGATGGTGATGGGAAAAGGGGGAGGTGGATTTAGAGGAAGGAGGCAGGGGTGTGGAATGACTCCTGGCTCTCAGTCCAGGAGCTGGGCCTAACTGGGCGTCTCTGCTGTGCTTGTCCTGCTGCGCTGCACTGCCTCCTGATGATTCCTTGGAGCCCGACAGGGATACAGGAATATTAGAAGAGGCCGAGGAAGAGGTGCTCGCTTGTGTTGTTGCGCTTGATGTCTGAGTTCCCATTTTAGTGGAAGCAGATGACTTGTTCTGCACCCCGACCCCACTGGAGGCTGCTGCAGGCTGAGGGAAGGCGAGCAGCGGGGGCCGGTGCTGTAGAAGATTGGGGAAAGGCGCCGGGATCTTTGTGTTTGATTCTTGCTCCGATTTATTCCCTTGCAGCAGATAGGGTGTAGGAGCTCGTGGCGTGTGGGGGCTGGCAGAAAGGACCTGGGGCACTGGGGTGGAGGATGCAGAGGCAGGCAGAGGAGATGAATGGGAGATTGATACAGTAGCTTTAGGTTTGGAATAGGAAGGGGAAGAAGAAGATGGGCGTGGCAGCGAAGAGGAGCTGCTGGCAGAAGAAGGTGTCACATGAAAGTGTTTAGAGGTTTTCAGTTTCTCGTGTTTGGAAGGGAGGTGTCTGTGGGACTCCCTGTCCTCCTGCATTGGGTATTTCATCTCCTCATAGATTGCCTCACTCTGGTCTGAGTCAGAGTCTGGTGTTGTGGCCACAGGGGTTACAGGGTGGGGTGTGGCCGTCTGACTGTCTCTGGTGAACACTTGGCCCACCATTTCTATATAGACTGGCTCATCATCCCCATCTCCTGTCTGAATCTGAGAGTCTGATGCCTGAAAGGGCATTGATGTGGCAGAAGGAGGCACACGTGGAGGAAGAGGGTCAAAGGAAAGCTGGGTGCTGGGACTTCTCTTGGGCTTTAAAGGAGGCACCTTCTTTGTTCCAATCTCTCCAGAGTCAGACTTCTTCATGGCTGCAGGGGACAAAAAAAAAAGAAAGCAATTTCAAAAGAACACATAATTTTCTCTGTGAAATATGCATCTGAAAACACATTTCTTACCATTCTTTTTCTCTGAGTGTTTTGCCTGGGAGTGAGTGAGTGGAGGCGGAGGTGGTGTCTCAGGAGGAGGTCCTCTGCTGTCAGCAGACGAGGAGCTCAGGCGAGTACTGGGGTGGCGTTTGGGTTTGACTGGAGGGCAGCGGCCGCCGTGTTGAGATTGGGTGTCTGAGTAATCTCCATTCTCTAGACTTGTATCTCCGGCTCCGACAGCGTGGCAGGACTGCGAGCGCGGCGCCATGGCAGAGGCACAGGAGTGAGGGGACAGGTCCTGGGAGGCAGGCATGGTCATGAAACCCATTCGGAAGTGCCGTCGGAAAGAAGCCAGGTCTCTGACTTTGCCAACAGTAGCTGATGGGTCATTTTGCGTGGAGCTGGAATCAAGGAACCGGGTCAAGAAAGTGTTAATGGAGGAAAAATACTGTAGCATGAAGAAATCATAGAGCGGTGTAAAACAGTCATGTAATACTGCTTATACTGACCTCCCCTTTTCCTCACTCTCTCTTTGGTCTACAGACATCGTCTTTGCAATAAAGAAATGCCTGCAGGGCGTCTGCTGCTGAGAAAAACACCCTGGAGGCTCCTTTACCTTTCTGCATTCACATCTGTATTCCTCAATGTGTGCTTACCCTTCAGACACATTCAATTAGAAACCAATTGCCTTGTCATAAGCAAGGTACTCGTGTGCACTCTGCTACTGGAAATTCCCTTTTTTTTTTTTCACTCATCTCTCTCTTTTTTTTAATATGTTTATATATTCAACCTACATCTGTTTTCTGCTCTCAGAATCACTAGAAGCTGTTTCATCTGTTACCATGGGAACAGTTGTGATTTTCTGGTGTTTGATACTTGCTCTTTGAAATCATCAATGACACAAGCTACTGCAGCAAAAAAATGAAACTGACAAAGAAAACAAAATCTGACAGAATACAGCAGCATTTCACTAAAGTGGGCAGTAGTTGGAATAGCATTTTTTCTTCGGGGTAACTTACATATTTGCAGGGCATGTAAAAAGAACACACACACACACAATATGTCTCTTATACAGTTAGCACAACAGGATTCAAGTATTTTTCAGCAGTCTGCGATCGAGCCTAAAGAGCACAAAACACTAGTTACATTGTCAAAAGCAAAGCTGTCTCAGTCATCTTCTTCTTCTGAGAAACACGAGATAAGTCTTTGGCCAACTGTGATCGAAGTAAATTTATTTGCTTTAGTCAATAACATCATGAGCAAAACCACAGCACTGACACTAGGAAAAAACATTCACACGTCTGATAGAATGTTGTGTGTCTAATGTCACAGAAGAAAAAACACACACACAAAAAAAGCAAGGAGCATATTTAGAAGGTTATATTCATATTTGGTCTAAATGTCTGAGATCACCAGATGTTGCACCTCTCATTCCTCCATATTTTGTTACGTAAAATGTAAATAGGCAAAAGCTTTCTTGACATTTCTTCAAGTAGTCTACGAGAATAGTTCTCCAGGCTTCTCGTAGGACATTCAGGCGTAGGCCGCCCTTTGTTTTGATCGAACCAATTGTTCCCACACTGCTTCAATAGTGTAGAGGTCCATTGCACTGGCAATTTATTATTACTCTCATGCCGAAAAATTAAGCTCCTCGTAATCAGATGCTTTCCAGAACGCATTGTATGGTGAATCTCAATCTGCAACAACATGGATCTTTTGACTGCATCTCCAGCACCACTGGCAGCTCCAAACCAAGACAGTGCTTCCACTATGTTTTACAAATGGCTGTAGACTCTCCTGACCAACTCTGAACATATTAAAAATAATATGAACCAAAAATGACTAAATATGAATGCATATCCAATATGCAATATTTCAGTCACTTGACACACAATTTCAGTCGTGTGTCCAATATCTCAGCCTTTTCTCTTTGTTTCCTGTTTCCTTTCCTTAAAAATTGCTTCTTGACAGCCGCCATTCCATGGAGACCACTCCAGATTGTTTCAGTGAACAGTTTCAGTGAACAGTAGATGGATCCACTGAAGGGCCAGATGTACTGTATCCCTCAGGTGCTGTGTCAGGTCTTTGCTGGATTTGTTCTATTTTTTAGAGACATGATTTTCAAATACTGAGTGCCATAGAGGATTTTCAGGTCTGCCACTTCTTCTTTTGTCATCCACTTGTCTAGTTTCCTCAAAAACATACCATGTTTTTTACCACACCATGCCAAGATGCGCCAGGCTTTCAGTGATTAACTCTTCGGGAAACATCTTGTGGTGCAGAAAAATGCTATTTTAAGCCTAACTGTGTTATATTTGGCATTTTTCACACATTCAGTTAAAGAAATGGGAACAAGCTATGTGTTTCTGCAACAGGCTGGTAGTAACAAAGTGCCTAAAGACCCAATTTAAAATAGGTTCATTCCACAGTTGTATGTCATGTGCAGACAAATCTTTGGTTTATGTCTTAGGTTAAGTAGCTTTTTATACTTGAATGATCCACAGGTCCATGTTAAAGGACTTAACACAGACCTTAAAAAAGACAAATGGAAACGTCCCTCTGAAAGTGGTCAGGTACAAGGAATGGACAGAAAAACAGAGGGAGAAAATGTCCAAAAAACAACTTTGGAAGACCGTGAGAAAGTCAGGAGAACTATTGGTCAAGACCACTTAAAGAAATAACAAAATGACAAGAAATTCTGGCTCCTTGGAAGCAAAACATAAAGAACTATGTGTGTGGGAGGGGGGTGCACTTGAGACTTTTGCACAGTACTGTAAATTATTCAGCCTAGTAGTTAATTGTGACATATAACTATGGGCCTTGCAGCGCTTTCTTTTAGTTCAGTTGCAATCCCTGTGAAGCACAGGAGACAAATGGGGCTTTCGATTTGCATTCAACATTTCAAGCAGCAAAAAATGCAATGAGGCTGCTCGTAGAGAAAAAAGAGGGTTCTGTTTTCCTTCTTCATGTGTGAGGCAGTGTTTGTTTATATAAGTGTGTTAGAGGAACAGAGTGCATTGTACATGTATCTTTATCTCCTTGAATGCCTGCGGAGACATGCTAGTGACTCTTCACAATCGACACAGATACAACAGGGCCAAATTAAGCCCAGAACAGAGGCTGTGCTGCTCTTTCTGACTGAAGTGTGTGTGTTTTTTTTTCTTATTTCCATCTAAAGGAAGGAGCTTCCAACAGTTTCAAAATGAGACCAGACTCAGCGGTTCACAAAGTATCAGGACTCCCACTTCTATATTTGCTTTACCTTTCTTGCTGCTTCGCATTAAGCTCATAATCTGCGGGGGCTAAATGAGATCGATACCACCTTCATATCTGCATTTTAGAAATGAAGCTACAGCCAGCAGCTGTTTAGCTTATCTTACTATAAAGAGGGAGAAACTCTTAGCCCGGCTCTGTCTAAAGGTTACAAAATCTGCCTTTCATCACTTCTAAACCTCACTAAATGAAAATCTGTACTGGAGAATCAGATGAAGCTTGCCATTTCAGGACAATGAGCTCTTGTTAATTAAGGGCACAATATGACTCCTGTGCAAATGGGATTTTTTTTTTATCATGAATACAAGACTAACAGAAATATTGGTCAAAACAATTTCCATAAACAATCTTTATGCTGTAATAACATCCTCTGTCTTGCTTTTTCTTAATGATATGATTGCCAGCAGATAAATTTAATGTCTTGATCCCAGCAAGGACTAGAAAGAAGAAGAAGGTGATGTCATCTGCTTCGCCCTTTGAAACACACCTTTGGTGGATTAATGTAGGAACAGACTCTTGAATACCACCTCCATCTCTTTCTCAGAATGCAAGATATTCCCAAAAGCTTCGATAACTGTGGCGATAAAGCGTTCGCTGGAGAAATCCAGTTCATATCATCCTACCCCTGTAGCAGCATATAGCCCTGTTTCTAATTCACCTTTTCATTTGGAGGCAAGGTTTAAGAGCGGGTTATGTTTAAACACCTGAATCAGACCTGGAAGAACGTTATTTTTGAGAACATCAAATCTGGTTCGAAGGCAAATCAGAGCAGTCAAGTCGTCTGTCGTTAAAGTCGGGGGTTAATGCTGAACTCTAAGTGTGTGTCTGTCCTCATTCTGTTGGACCTCAGTGACATATCTGACACAGCATGCGACAGTTTAATTGATTGCCTTAAGTTATGGGTTGTCACCAGCGTGGTTTCAAAGTGATCCGATTCTTCTTCTGTCACCAGAAGAAAATGATACAAAAAGTGAAAGTGCCTCGTGGTTTAACCGAAGCAATGAAAGGCAGTCATTGTGTATTGATTCTCTTAATGATATTATTACAGGGCTGTTTACTAGCATGTGAGAGTTTTAAATGTCCCTAAAGCAACTAAAGGATAAAACATGTCTTTCTTCCGTGACATTAAAAAACCGCATAGTAAATAATGTCTTTGAATTTTCCACAAGGTGACAACAGCTGTCTCTGTCTGCGCGTGTCACTGTAGACAGTCACCTATTCTTTTATGTTTTTTAAGTTTTTCTACTATCATGAGGCCGTGCTGACAGACACAACAAAGTGTTCTTTTTTTGAGAGAAATGAATGAGTTGCCTATTCAGAGCAACTTTTCAATATCTTTAACCGACAACTGTCGACCTGTCCAGTGTGTACCCCACCTCTCGTCCCGTGAGTTGCCAGACTTTCCCTCTACCAGACCACTAACACTTCCAAATCAGCACAAGAATTTATTAAAACTATTTACAGTTGTCACAACTGGGAATTGTTCATGCCTTGTGCCATAAGGAACTGTCTCTATTTTTAAAACTCATATTAAAATTCACCTATTTACCATTTGCATCTCCACAGCCGCCTGCGCTTCGTGTGATTTCTCTACTGGGAGCCTCGGGATGTTAAACTGTCTGTCAGTGCACAGCTTCCTTTATCCCTGCACTCTTTCCGTCTCCTTCACTCTCCAGCCAGGTCTGCAGTTGCTGTCCTCCCTTAAGTCCGTTCGGTTTTCACCCCTTTTGTCCCTGTGCAGTTTTATCCCTGACCCTGTCCTGTTTGTAATTATCACCGGTCATGTCCCGCTTCCACCTCTGCTCCTCTGGCCCCACTCGGCTCTGCTTTCATCACTCATCGTGTCCCGTTGTCCTACTTGCTGCCCTACACCTTCACTGGCTTGATGCTGCCATGGCGTTGATCTCTGCTGCCAACACGAGGGCCTCCAATTACCGCCGTGAGTCATAAAGCAATGGACGGCACATCTAAACAAACTTGAATTGTTGTCTTTGATGCTCTCCTTCTCCTCTCGAGCACAAATAGCCCGAACCCCATACTGAATTCGCTTAGTTATAGGTGACTCACATTTGAACAGCACATCCTTCCTTCTGCCCCCAAACCATATGCTCAGATACACAAGATCACTCACTCACAGGCTTTTCAGCACAATGGCGTCATGCGAGTGTGATGACGTTAGGTCTGTTTTGACCCTTTTGAAGAGTGCTTGAATTAATTTGCTTGTTTGGGGGTTTGATTCTCTTCTTTCTTCTTGTATCTAAATACAAATCTGATCTTAATTCTGATACTACTGTAAAAATAAACAAATTATACTGGGCTGAAAAATCACAGAATTATGTGGGACTCAAGTTTAAATATTGTTGACATCGCACTTCTGTGCTGTGATTTACTATGATTGCTTTTCTGCTGGAAGATTGTTTTTTAAAAAAAGAAAGAGTCTGGAGGTGATGCATCAGCAGCTAACTGTGTTCTACTGGTGCACAAGTTATAGCCTTGAACACACACTGCACAGTGTTTAGCAGCAAGTCCTCAATGCTACAGTGAAATCAAGCAGCTGCAGAAGAAGTATTCAGTAACCTCATAGTCTGAAAATAAAAGCTCTACCTATCCTGCATGTCTCAATCATGCAACCAACACAAAAGTTCCTTAACGCTTCATTGATTCATTCTGTTCTGTAAGCAGGCCTGAAATATGACAGAATCCTCTCTGTTTAGAAAAGAGCATTAAGGGTTATTCTTAGCAGGATAAAGAGTAAAACTTGTATTCTTTCTTATAGCCAGCAGGCGTTCAGTGCTCTGTTTACAAAAGGAACTGTGACTGGGTTAAAGAAGCAACACTATTTTGCGATGCTTTCAGCACTTTGCTTGCGAATTTGTGGTCTCAATAGTTGATTTAAAACCATATTTTAAATCAAACATTCAAAGAAAACATAGCCTACTCTATTCTATCTGTCAATTTTGTAACTGGTTTTTTAATTCAGTGTAAAAAAAAAAGAGAAAAAAAGCAAAAGTCCCAGTCAGCAACCAGCGTTACTGGTTTCTCTGTCAGATTAGCTAAAATGCTCTACCTGGGGCTTCAGATTTAATTGTTGACATCATGGTGAATGTGTCCATCTTTAACATGACGTCCATGTGCAGAATTATGTACTTAAGAAAAAGCACTAATTTAAATTTATTATTTTTTTCTAAAATCTTTTTTCTTTATTCCTTGTTTACTCTTTTGCTTCTGAAAAGCTGCAGGCCTGCAGAATTTGAAGGGGGCGTGTGCGTGAAATGTACATTAGTCAACCTATAAATCCTCACACTTGCTTCTTAAAAAAAACAGTGAAAGAGTGAATGGCCCAGATTTATGTAACATGTTACTGCCATAAACCATTTGATTTCGTATCCATGTACTATAACACTGTAGTGTATGCATTCAGAAATTACGCAATAACTCAGTTTTCTCATTTCTATCTGTGTTTTTGGCCCGTTTTTGCCTTGTGCAATTCAGCTCTACTAATTTATCTCATCTAAAGACCGTATTAACTTCATCATGACCTGCTGCTATGCAAATCTATGAGATTCACTTCCAGGTGAACCCTTCTGACTCCGCGAACAGTGGCTGGAATTAAGATTTTGAAAATTAAACTCGTTCACACTGGATAAGAGGCTTATATTTCCACTGAACTGAACCCTATCATAATCCACTCACCTCTTTTTACTTCCCTCTTGGTCTCTCTGCCTCCAGTCCAACCGGCTCTTACGATACAGCAGGTTCATGTCGCTGTGGGATCGCTCCTCCTCGCAGCCTATCACAGCGCAGTGTAGCCGCTTGCTTCGCCTCTCTATGTCACGCAGGAAATGCTCGACTGCCACATCCTGGGCAGAGCCAGAGCTCATGGTATAGAAGAGGACTCAGGGGATGGCAATGTATGTCACGGGCAGCCCTCCTTTAGACAAGAGAAAACAGGAGCTCATTAATCATTTAAAAAAAAACAAAAAAAAAAACAAGTTTAATAACTTTCCAGCCTGCATGCAGATGACAAGATTGACAGTGATTACTTTGTTCATGCGGCAACATAAATAATCAACTCCAAATTACTGGCAAAAGTTGTAAGGGAGTCATTGCTTATCACGCTCACTGTGTCATAGTGAACAATCCTTCCCATTACTCTACCTGGCAGCCGTCATAGCGAAGACACGGTGATGCATGATGATGATGATGATGGAGGTTGCAGCTTTGTTTACCCCTGCCTCTAGTGTATCACATGAAAACTATTTATACTTTCATTATCCAGTTATGAATATTTGAGTAAGCATGGTAAATCAGCTGCAGAGCATCTTTGGCTGCAGGCCCTGGGATGGCCTATCTAAGCCTGTCTACTAGCCAGAAAGTAATGCGGTTTGTCATATGTAGTGCATGCACAGCTTCCTACTCACGCTCCCTCCACGTGAAGTCAGGCTTGTTGTGGGGCAGATATCTGGGAGTCCAACAGTGTTTTCATGTTGGAGAACGTGAGTGTGTAGCGCAATTGGCTAAGAAAAGAGCAGATGTCAGCTGATGCACTAGTGTTTTTCCACCATAAATAGAAATAGAATGTGTTTTGATGGTGGACGCTCAAGTGGTATCGGCGGTGCCCCTGGCATCAGCATGAGTTAAACGGCTTTGCTGGGGAACTAAATTGAATCAGCCACTTTACATGACATGCATTATTAAGCTAAGCTTGTTTGCAGTGTAGCTGGTGAGTAATTTTAATGGTCCGCATTATCAGATATTCTCACAAAGCAGAAAACGGGGGGAAGCGAGCAATATGAATCAAATGTGGTGGAACACATGCGAATCCAGTTTAATGAGACCCGATTTACAATTAAGGTCCTATGATGCTTCACACAGCATGAAAATACATCAAAAAGTATATATTGACACTTTCCAGCTGCGCTGTTGTTTTCCTAATTCTGTAGATATTTTCGATAACTTAAGCAGTTTACCATCGTCTGCACACCATTTTCACTGCCGGTGCAGTAGCTCAGCTATGTCTTACTATAAAGAGAAAAAGCACACAGTGAGAGCAGCAGGCGCTGTCACCTGGGCCAGGTGGCATGTTGATCTGTGTACCTGTGTGTGATTCTTTTGTCACAGCCCAGTGTGTCATCCAGTGTGTCAGCGTGGCTACTGCTATTCTTGTACCCCACGGCTCTGACCACAACCTCGACCGCTGCTGCTGCCGTGTTTGCTGTTTGCTGACTCAATGTTAATTAGGTTAGGGAGCTGTGACTGTAGGTTGGGCTTTTGTTAAATGGAGCTTTGATTTTGGTTTCTAGGATCTGGCAGCTGAGTAGGCAGCCCCGCAATTGTCACATTACACCCTGTGGCTTGGTGTACAATTAGCCAAGCTAAAAGAACCGAGAGTCCAGCATCTTATATATCTACAGGCAGGTTTGTGTCCTCAGACCAGGCTGCAAAATATTGTTTTTACAAGCATGCAATACGCTCATATAGGGTGCCTGTTATTAATCCCCAGAGTCACTTTCTAACCCAAATAAACTGAGAGCGTTTAGGAAGTTGTTTCAGGAGCATCTGTAGGGTCAGGAGTCGCTTGAATTCCTCATTAAAACCAGGAGGCAGATGGAGCCATGATTCACATAACTCAATCTGCATGCAACGCTGCAAACTACTCATTCATGCACATAAGCAAACATCACACACACATACTCACACACACACACATATTCAAGGCCCCCATAACACCCTTCAAACACCCTTTATGTGCGTATGTGTATAGCAGTAACTGAAAAAGCTCCGCCAATATGACTACTATAGAGACACGGGAATTTATCGAGGCACATCATAATCACCTATGTAAAATATGACAGTGTAAAACATTTACAGTGGGATTTATGAGCGTAACAAAAGTTATGAGTGAAACATTATGCAGTCAGGGGATTCACTCTGGGTGTACATTTTGTGGTATCTCATGTCTAAAACCGTTCCTTCTATAGCTGCTACTGGATTCGCAGCACTGGAAGGCTTTGTGCTGCAGCCCTCTGCCCTCCAGTCTCCACCTCAGCAAGCGGTCCAGCAGTGTTGCTTTACCTCGCTGTGAGTGAGACAGCAGGACTGCAGAGTGGACAGACACATCATCACACTGGCGTGGCCTCGATAAAAGTGAAAAGTTTCTACAAAACATGTATGTTTGCGTTTGCAGAGGCTGGATAGTTAACATGTTGCTAACATGTTGTAGCAAATAATTCAATAATCAATCTGTGACAATAGGTAAGAAAATCGGGGAGGGGGGGGGGGATCAGGAGTTTCTCAACACCATATTTTTGGCTCACTTTATCAGATATTTAGGAAACAGTGCGCTATACATATCCTTCACTTTGTTTGGTTTCTCCTGAATACCAGAGCCATTCCAGCCCACATGGTATGTATGGTATCTCAGCACCTGAGCTGGACAGCACAGCCTGAGAAACAAACAGAGGAGAGGAGGAGAAGAAGAGGGAGGCGGTGAGGAAGCAGTGGAGCAGGATGGAGCAAAACGTTCAGTGGAAGGATGAGCAGCCTGAAACACACACAGCTAGGAGAGGAGGAGAGACAGAGGCAGCGGGAAATGGAGAGAGAGAGAGAGGAGGGGGCACGGAGAAAAATGGGGGAAGCCAACAAAATAGAGAATCACTGATATAGCAACACGGGGAAGAAGACGAATATGATTAGGCGGGAAACGTACTGCCCAGACAGACTGACGGAGGGGAAGATAGAGACAGGGAGCATGGGAGCAGAGGGAATGTGCAAATGGAGGCAAGTGCAAGGGAGAGAGGATAGAAGAAAAAACAGTGAAAGGCAGCCAGACTACAAGAATGGGGGAGGGAGGTGAAATCAAGCCTCTCACACTAGTCGCTGTGTGTGGTCTCCTAGCAACACTGTCAGCATCTCTTCCTTAGCCGCTGAATATTCACAAAGCAGGACGTCAGCCTCATCATACAGGATGATCCCAGGGTTAAACTTCACTGCAGCTTCATTTGTACCTGACTCTCTCAGGATCAATAAATATCACATGTTTCTTAAATAGCACAGTATGTATCTTAGTAGTATCTGTACTGAGCTACACAGGGGCTAATATTAATCCAGGCAAATACACTCAAATGATAACGCTTAGTATTTTAAATCCTATCAAGCCAGATTTGAACCATTTTCTTTTTCAATGAGACAAAGATTAATAAAAAAAAATACTTAAGGTGAGAATATACATACCAGCTGATATACTAAATACTGTAAAGAATTAAACACCAAAGTAGGAGGGATGTGAAATCCCACCTCCTTCTCAAATAGCCATCACAAATGTTTTTACAGTTAAACGCCAACTTTCACATTGGCTGGATACACATTATTGGGTGAAACAGCTCATTACTTCTTTCAGCCCAAACCATATCAGTAGTTTATATGAGCTGTTTTTATGTCTATGATTCGCTTCAGTCTGAAATACTTAACTCCAGGCACCTAAATCTATTCAGTTTCTTATTATGCAGGAAATCTAAATCTGATAGAGTCAAGGCTCATTTAATGTCAAATGTAAATGATGACTTGTGTTGAGCACTTTCCTTAACAAGGTAACATCTGGTGAAGAGATGCTTTTTAACAATTGAATGAAATACTCATTTATAGTAAACATATTACAGCATGATACAAGAGCTTCCGCATAGCACCAGGGCACTAAATACATTATTATGGGGTGGGGGGGGGAGAGACCACTACATGATCATTTAAAGGTTATTATAAGTTTAAACATTTTTTATAAACTCCCTGCAAAGCAGAGGAAAAGGGATTTAACAAATTACTCCACCAAATCATATCATTGCACATATTTTTAGAGCACTATAAAATGCTTAGAGAGTGAGATCAGATACAAATCTAATGTCTGCAAGGTAAAGCCACAAGCCAGTTTACTTTGGTTATCGGAGCTCAAAAGACAGAAAGTGGGGGGAAAAGCAAACCTGAGCTGTGTCCAAAGATAACAAAATTCCCCAGCCACTTCCTCTGAAGATCACTAATTAACACACTATATCACATTTATTTATATAGTGTGTCTAGAGGTGCTGGCAGGCAGTTTTTTTAGCATAGTAAGGCTTGCTGTTTTCCCACTTCCAGTCTTTGTGCTAGTCTAATATAGCAAGGTTTTTTTAGCAGGTTTTTGGATCTTCCCATGAAAGAACTCTCAAAATATTTTGTTAAATTTGGTTAATTTCAGCAGAAAAATATAAAAAGTTAACGCGACGCAGAGACGGTGCGTGGCAGAGTGATGAGCACTGGTCAGTTGTCGAAAAGTTGCCTTTTTGCAAGTACAAACATGCTTGCAAATATATTAATGGCCAGATTTTTCTCACGCTTTCTGTTTACAGAAACTGAACTTGCAGTGGGAAATGCTGTCCTAAACATTTGGTGAGTCAAATCCTTTAATAATTTATGACAAGCTGTCCACCTTTAACGCATCTGAACGCGGGAACAATGTCACATTCATAAATTCTGCTGTTTTGGGATCAGAAGGAGAAGATGTCCATTTGGAGCACTGATAAATGATTCATGATCAGCTGAAGAAATACTTTGCACGTGTTGTTTCTCCAGAATCGGGGTTAAACTTGTTTAATGTCAGGTTTAGTCAACCACCCGCTGTGTAGGACCTGACTTCAGCTCTTAAACACTTAAAGATATTTCTGCCTTTAAAATCAAAGACCCTTTACACTCTGGCCAGCTAACCTGCAGGCCAGAAAACACTCCAATTGACACCTATTGCTTTGTGGGCCCGTGTACACAAACAAATCAATGTAACCCTTCCTCAAACCAAAACAATCACTTAAAGTAAAACCTGTGAATGTGTGAGCCTGTGCATTGTGTGACTCACAAATTTATGTTTGTGTGCGGTGTGTGTGTGATGGGAAGAATTCTCTCAAACCA